TTTTACTTAGTACTTAGGTAGATCAATCAAATAAAGTTGCTCCAAATCACAATCAACAACACGTTGGGAATTTAGCATGCCTGTTAGATTTCGAATAAACTGTGATCGCCTGCCCGAGTAGGTATTAGGTACCTATTGAAAGATCCTCTGTGCTTATGTGATGCAAGTTCATAGTTTTTTTTAATAAAACGTTGCCCCTCACTAGGATTTTCTCCTGTGTCGTGGGTAACGCACGTATACAAACATACAATTTCACATACACATGACACCCAGACCCGAAACAATTTGTAGATCACACAAAGTGTTCTTCCGTGCGGGAATCGAACCCGCGAAACGTCGCACGGCAGCCAGTTACCCAGCCACCGCACCAACCGTGCAGTCAAGTCATTGCGTTTATTTGGATTGGGCAACATATTTTGTAAAAAGTGTGGGAGAGCAAGTTACGTATGAGCCGAAAAATGACATGAAACAACGATTTTTTGAGGGGGAAAAAATCATGCAATAGCTTCTTCCGGCTGGTTGGAGCGAAAGAAACGTCGGACTCTCACCGACTATAAACCACCCCGTCCCTTCTACTCCAAGCCGATGCCGTGCTTGATAGGTACATTATTGTGCTTACCTGCAACCCCGACTAAATATCAGCCATTTATTTATATTGGGTCCCATCTGTAACTCTTTGAGGCTCGCGCGGAACACTCGGGTCTAGTTCTATTCGGGTGGTAAGTTTTTTTTTAATGGTAGGTACAAGCCCGCCGCAAACTCATACCGCTGCAACTCCTGTAATCGAAGATCTACAGTAGATACAACCAGGTTCCAGGGACATGAATGAGTGTCTTGCATCCCGCAACGAAATAAATCAGAAGATATTATTTGAGGAGAAGAAAAAAATGAAAGTCGGGTGGCAAGTTACCCTTGCTTGGTTTCAGGGGCTTATGATGTGAAAAATCGCTTACGTTGTGTTTTATCTGTCTACTTATTCAGTAGGCCACCCTTTCCCGTAAAAAATCCTATTACAAGAAAGAAAGAAAGAAAGAAAAAAAAATGTTAGAATGTAGTACTTACAAATATAGATGTTTGTGTTAGGTGTACCTATGGAATCTCAAATATTCTACCGAATTGGTGTACGAAATATTTAGCTTAATATCTAGTTATAACTATACACTACTTAGGTATTCTAAATCTACAAAAGGTCATCTAAAAAATCTTTAGAGCATTACCTAATAACATTTATTTAGCAAAAACTCAAACAATTTTCTTTTAAAAGACATTGTGTTAAGATTTTTTAGGTCATTTGAAAGTTTACAAGTGAACCAAGGTGCACAAGCTAGTTGGGTTAAACTCCTAAGCATGTCGTGTATGAAACACCGTATGTTCAGAATCCCACGCTTATAAAATCACAGCGGGTTATGTGAAACAGTTAGACTTGAATAATATATTGGTGAGGGCTGTTGGGTACATAAGTGTTATGGTATTTTAAGTAATAGGAAGCTTTTAAAGAGGGGAAATCATCCAATGACTTTTCCCGCCCAGTGTGGTACTTACGTCCTAAAGGTGGGTAAAAAAATCGTCGTAGGTAGGTACAACCTGCAATTTGTTTAATGTCATTTTTTTTTTGTTTATTGCTTAATTATTCTACGTTTCAATTTCAATATTGAACGCGACCGATAAAGTTTCGCAGTATAGCTAAGACACTTTCTTTAAAAACATTTTGGTCCCGTAAAACATATTTTTTCCAGTAGGTGCGCCGGTTTTTTAATCTCGTGTAGACTTGTCAATGAAGCAATGAATTTATTTTAACAAATAGGTAGGCCATAAATTCGTTACACGTCAAATTATATGTAAAAAATATTTTTTATACCTAGGTATAATGTTGATGTGTAAAACTATAGTTCTATGGTTTAATTAAAAAAATATTCAATGTACCTACCTATAACCCGGGTACCTACAAAGTAAAAACAAAAAATAAAATAAAAAAAACCTTTTTCGACAGCGTTTTTTACGCACCTGTACCAAAGGCTTTAAACACACGAAACTATACATTTCCTATTCTCTATTGTTTACCAATAATTTGTCTTCGGTAACTAAATTACACGTCAATCATAATGCATTAAATATTATCTTAACCATAGGTTTGTTTAACAGTAAATGCAGTTCTGATATCCAGTCAAATTGACAAGTTCAATTCAAATAAACTTTGATTTTGTCTAAAAGTTTAAGGGATAAAAAATAAAAACATAACCTTACAATTTTTAAAAAAACAAACAAAAAACATTGAACAGTTAAAATAATTGAGAAAAACTATTCAACAGATTATGTTATTTATGTAAAAAATAGAGATAATTAAGATACGACGAACAAAATAATAATAAAAAAACAATTAAGGATTTTTTGGCACCTTCTCGTAAAAAATACAAGATGGCGCCTCAGTAATGTTTGAGAAATTACGTATAATATTTTACGTTCTTTTAGCTCTTTTCATCCCATATTTATTGCAAGAATATATATCAGCGATTCTTATAAATAAAATAAGAACTTGTAATTGTAAAAGTTGCAATTATTAACTTTGAAAATCACAATTGAAGAGATCTACTTAGATGTAAAAATCTAAGCAGAATGTCTTTTTATTATTTATTTTTGTTGATTTTCTTTATTAACGTCGGATGTGTTTTATCTGAGCTGAGTTTGCGGTTCGGTAAGTTTTTCTCTTAATAATTATTACGTGTATAATTACTTATAATTACCTAGGTGTCATGTATAGGGTAACCAACATTTGTCCTGAGATTTCAGGATTTTTCGACTTATCTCAGAAATGCGTCAGAATTTCTCGTAATATCTCAAGATTTTCTTATTAATCCAAGTATAAACTCTCAGGACTTTTCCATAGAAATCAGGATTTTTCTCCGGTCTTTTGATTTTTTCGCCTAGTAGTGGTGGCCTGACGGTTATGGCGCCTGCTTCTTATGCACGAGGGTTCGAAACCATGCAAGTACTAGTGCGACTTTTTCCGAGTTAAACAATACAACATCACAATAAAAGGATTTTATAATTTCTAATTACTTACTTAAAGTAGGTATCAAGTCGACAAACCGCCATGATCAAGCGTTGTGAGAGCCATTCTTCGGCACGAATGGGTCGGCTTGACCGGAGTGATACCACGGCCTCACAGAAAACCGGCGTGAAATAACCACAGCGTTGTATTTCGCCGTGTGAGTGAGGTTACCGACGGCCCAATCCCTCCCCTCCCCAATCCTTAAATCTCCAAATCCCCAATCTCCAAAAGGTTGCAACGCACGCGTTATTTGCTCTATTGTCATGGGTGTCCATGGGCGGCGCTGATTGTAATGTAATCCTGTAGCTACTGTAATCCGTGAGAATGTTTGCCGACCTATCATTTTAAAAAAATACGTAGGTCATACTTAAGTCAAGAAAGTCACATACCGGGCTGTAATTTCAACTACGTGCTTACCTACTGCAGAAAAAAAACTGAAAGTATCAACACTCGCAACATTTTCTGGTCCGGGGTACAAAAATCGAGACGCCATTTTTGCGAGGGAAAATCATCGATTGACTTCTTTCACCTTGGATAGGTAGGATGAACCCGTTCCATCTCCTGGCACAGCTAATGTGGCACTAAATTCATTTCGTTCGTATATTTTTATTTACGGTAAAACACAATTATATTCATAGCAGTCATCGAAGTCTTAAACGGTCTAAAAAAATCATGGTATCATTCCGGTTGAGTTGACCAATTCGTGCCGAAGCTTGAACTGCCAACACTTTTTTCTTTTTAGACAAAAACACAAGGATTTTTCCTGTGTCGTGGCTTTAACAAACATACAATTTCACATGTATACACATCACACCCAGACCCGGAACAACAATTTTCGGATAACACAAAGAGTTATTTCAACTCCGCGACACGTTGCGCGGCAGGGCTACCGCGCCAACCGTGCAATCAAATTGATAATATAAAAAAAAATCAAAAAAGTAATAATTTTCTTTTTCTTTTTTAGTTTTTATAATAGAAGCACAAGAGCAGGATTTGACCCGAGACGTTGGGAGGGCCCTAAAGTTGTCCGAAACTGTGAGGCCAGAGGTCAAACTTAATGACGCCATAATTCTGCTGGACAGAGAAAATGAAGAAGAGGGCTATAGGATTTGTAAGTATACCTACCTAGTTATAATCTTTTTAAAATAATATTGTCTAGTTTTTTTATGGCGTATGTCGGCAAACGGGCAGACGGATTTTTTTAAAACATTATCTGCACTATTATTTTCTCCTGTGCCTTTACTAACATACACATCACACCCAGACCAGGAACAACAATTTGTGGATTCTACAAAGTGCCAACCGTGCAGTCCGATTACCTGATGTTAAGCTATCGGCACCGCCCATGGGCACTCGTAAGGAATTACTTATTACTTATCAGGATTGTCCATGGGCGATAATACCGAAGATTTTTTTTTCTCGTTTTTTATCAAAACGTTGCCCCACATTAGGATTTTCTCCTGTGTCGTAGGTTCGGTCACAAACATACAATATTACATACACACGACACCCAGACCCGGCACAACAATTTGTGGATCACACAAAGAGTTGTTCCGTGCGGGAATCGAACCCGCGACACGCAGGCAGTTGCCCAGTCACCACACCAACCGTGCAGTCTAAGTGTGTTGCCGGCCTCTTGTTGGTTATTAGGGATTGAAGGATAGGGGATTTGAAAGTGGAAGGAACTCCCATGTAAGTGAGGTTACCAGAGGCCCAATTCTTCTCCTCACCTAATCCCTCCCCGATCCATAAATCTCCAAAACCCTTATCCTTAAAGGGCCGGCAACGCACTCCTTAGTCCTATATTGTTGCCATGGGCGGCGCAGATTGCTTACCATCAGGTAATTCTATCACATAAAAAGAGCCATCCATGACTCCAAAAAAATCCTCGTGTGTGGCAACTTATAAAAAACATTTTTTTTTAATTTCTATCTCTTTAGTATGCTCCGCTATGTCAAAGGGGGTGTCCATGATAATCGACTTGAGCTGGTCTCCCTGGCAAATGGTTGAAGACTTAGCTTTGGAAGCTGGTATTCCGTTGGTGAGAACTTTACTGGGCTCCCAGCAGCTGGTGAAGGCTTTGGATAACTACTTGGAATCAAGGAATGCTACTGATGCTGCTCTTATTTTGGAGAGCGAGAGTGGTAAGTTTTATGAGAAGAAAAAGTGAGAAGACTTTACGACTCTATCTCCCGAATCCTAATAGTTGTCTCCATCCAAAGGTTCGCATTTAGCGATAAGACCGCCCATTGTATATTATATCTTTTTTCGGTGTACAATAAAGATTAAATAAATAATTAACTTCGACAAGGTCATTAATTGGAAACAAGTAGGTATTTGTGTTTTCACTGAGCCCAATTTACAATGAGATTGCATGGGCAATGGGCATGTTGCCATTTTGTCAATAACGTCATCATATTCGTTCATGCAGCCCGTAGTATCGAGTATATTTTTTTATTGGATATGTCGGTAAATGAGCTACGAATTACCTGATGGTAAGCATCGGCGCCGCCCATGGTCACCAGCGACACGACACCAAAGGAGTTACGATTGCGGTGCCGGGCTTTTGGGGATAAGGGTTTCGGATATTTAAGGATTGGAAAGGGACAGGGAGAGAGGTAAGGATTGGGTCTCCGGCAACCTCACTCACATGTCGAAACACGCTGTGGTTATTCCACTCCCGTTTTCTGTGGGATTATTAGACGTTGTCACGTCAAAAGACCAAACATTCCTATCGATTCCAAAAAAAGGTTTCGAAATTCTTGTGCTTTTTTCTGCAGACGTTGATCGTACACTATATGAGCTGTTGGGAGCTTCAAACATAAGGGTCTGGGTCCATGCCGGCCTGACTAGAGACTCCGCTAAAGCGCTGAAGACCATGCGACCAGAACCAAGTTTCTACATCATAGTTGGAGAGAATGGATTCGTCATGGACACTTATAGACGGGTTAGAGAGATCTTTAGTTGTAAATATTTATTTTTATGTGACATGTTACCTGATGGTAAGCAACCACCGCAGACCATGTACACCTGGAGTAGCAGAAGAGTTACAAGTGCGATGCTGGTCTTTTCGGGATTAGGATTTAGGAGATTTATTCGCCGGATTTTTGGGATGGGGAGAGAGGAATGATTGAGTCTTCTTTTATAAGATGGCAAAAGACCATACGGGGTACCTAATGGTAAGCAATAAGCACCGCCCAAGTACAACGAAAGAGTTAAGAGTGCGTTGATTGGACCTCCGGTAACCTCACTCACACGGAGAAACACAACGATGTGGTTGTTTCACGTCGGTTTTCGGTGAGGCCGTGGTATAACTCCGGTCGAGCCGACCCATTCGTGCCGAAGCATTGCTCCTACACAAAGGAGCATGGGTTTCCGGTAACCTCACTCACTACCTGAAAAACAATGGAGAAGTTAACAATTGCGAGAAAGGGCAAAGAAGACCAAGTCAAAAGCGCTTTAAAATGACCTTGTATGGATATGCTAAATAACAAAGTAATATTTTCTCTTAAACAGGCGGTCAAAGAGAAGTTAGTAAAACGGAATTACCGATGGAACCTGATTGTGACTGATTATTCCTCAGTAGAAGTTAGTCAGCTCGTGCTACCGACTGTGATACTCCAGTCAGACCCAGTGGAATGCTGTAGGCTGCTGAGAAAAGATGAGTGCTCCTGCCCTTCTGATTTTCAGGTAAAGAATGGACTTGAGTTAGGAGTTGCGTTGAGTGTTTTGACTTTGGACCTCCGGTAACATCACTCACGCGGTGTAACAAAACTGTGTTACATAATCCTCTTTCGTCATGTTGTCGAGAACTTGCCTTAACTTAACAATAACCTCACCACAAAGTCAAAGTCAATGTCAAAATAATTTACTTCAACTAAAGCATAACTATTTTTATTGTGTGATAGGAAGCCAGACGATCAAACGGATTGCCTGATGGTAAGCAATCAGCGCGGCCTATGAACACCCGAAACAACGGAGGGGTTACGGTGCGTTGCAGACCTTTTGGGTATTAGGGATTTGAAGTTTTAGGATTGGGGAGGCATGGGCCTCCGGTAACATCACTTATTGGTGTAACATAGCGTTGTGGCCACGTTTGTGGCTGTATGACACCGGTTTTCTGTAAGGCCTTTGTATCGCTCCAGTCGAGCTGACCCATTCGTGCCGAAGCATGCCTCTCCACGCTTTAAACAAATACTTAAAATTATCGGCCTAAGTTTTTTTGTTGTGCGTTAATCTCCCCGATACCTATTCGTTATATTAACTAACTGACTAAAGATTTTATTTGTTTGAACGATCAGCAAAATTTGGTCTGATTTGAACAATTCTTTTTGTATTGGATAGTTAATTTTTCTAAGAAGTCTTTAGGCTATTAATACGACGAAGATTTGACGAACAGGAATGAGTTAATTGTAATAATCATTAAAATTAATTAATTCGGCCTATTTTGTTGCAGAGGAAACAGCAAATCATCAATTCCTTAATCCTTTATCTATCAGAGACATACTCAAAGTTAGAAGGTGATCTCACTCTCACGACATCTTCCATACAATGCGAAGAACCTCAGTCTTCTATGAACACCACCAGAGATCGTTTGTTCAAACAGTTCGCTGAGGACTCGGAGATCAGTAATGAGACTGTCTTCTTTTGGGATGGAGATCGGTAAGTTTGTCAGTAGATTTAAATTAACCGTTTTTTTTGAGTAGCGAAATTTGAAATTATCAAATGGATTCCCCCGTCCCAGCATGTCGATTCTACAAAATTTCTTTGATTTTGAATCTTGTTCGAGTGTGAAGTAAGTGAAATTATATTATAGAATGCCACTTTTAACGTCATCTCATAGTTTATCTATGAAAATGTTGCGGTCAATTTAGTTCAACTCGCAAGTGTAGCGCTAGTGTACTACTACTCACAGCGGGTTCAGATTCGAAGTTTAGAACCCACTTTCATTTATCTCTGTATCCTGTGTCAGGGGTGCGTTATGTACACTTTCACATGTACATCAGAAATTCGGAATACATGTTATAAAAAAATGCCATGAGTATAAATGTGGATGGATGGATAGGGAGAGCGAGACCAAAAAAATATGGATGGATTGTGTGAGAAGTGATATGGAAGACAGAGGAGTTAGCGCGATAGCGTGACGGGTGACAGGACAGAATGGAAGAAAAAAAAACATATTGCGCCGACCCCAAATAAAACGGGAGAAGGGCAGGATGATGATGATGATCAGAGATTCGGAAATCTATTACCAAACCACTGCCCCAAGTATGCAGTCTTCGAACGTCGAGTAAGGGAAGCTCGTCGCCCAACCCGAACCAGAGCCGAGGGTACGGCGTGTTACGTTACGCGCGCGCCTCAAAGAGCCAAAAGACCACCACAGATGGGACGCCATAGGTCTTATGTTCAGCCCGGGTTGCGCGGCCTCGGCCTAGATCAGGAGAAGGAACGGGGTGTTTTAAGTCTGTAAAAGTCTACCTCTCCTTCTCGCCTTACCTAAGCGGGAAAAGTCATTTGGTGATTTTATCCACACAGAAAAAACCATGCAGTCTTTTAAAGAGTAGACCATTTTAACGACGGTCTTCTTTCAATTAGATCCGGTCTATTTCTTCGATCCCGCTTCATACTCTCGACATATAAGCCAGAAGACGGTCAGCAGGTCATAGCGACCTGGTCTGCTGATGAAGACTATAAGCTTTTGCCGGGCATCAAACTGGAACCATTGAGAATGTTCTTCAGAATTGGGACTGCTCCTGTAAGTAACTTCAACCCTCGTTATATTGTCATATTCGTGAATGAGTGTCCCAATTGGAACTCGTTAACTCTTGACGACTGAATATAAGTATTGCCTTTGAGGTTATTTTCCTGATTTCTTGTTCCCACTTAATAGATTCGACTTAATAATGTAACAAAGAAATTGAAGTGAAACTGATAAGTATCAGTAACCATGGAGTTTTTCGCTCATTCTTCTCCAAAGGAATCTACACTTTGGAACCAACAAATAGCATAACTAGAGGAAAGACCGACTAACTGACTTTTAACTTCTTAACACGCATCTTTTTTTGCCCCTCTACAGTTTGACACCCTAGGTATTTTGCTGGTAGTCTTTTCCCTAAGACTCTTTAGAAGAATACGGTTCTGATTCCACCTGTTAACAACGTTGACCGATCTTGGTTTATCTCGTAGGCTGTTCCTTGGACCCTGGTCAAGGTAGACCCTACATCTGGAGAACAGATGTTCAATGAGGATGGCCAGCCTTTGTACGAAGGATACTGTATCGATCTCATCGCAAGATTGTCTGAGGTATGGCATACGATCCACAAGCATACTTAATTCACTTCCCATCAATATTGAAAAGAGCAGACGGATTACCTGATGGTAAGTGACCAACGCCGCCCATGGACACCTGCAATACCAGAGGAGTCATAGGCACGATGCTGGCCTTTTAAAACGGAGTTTCTTAAAGCGCGTTTCTTGAAGATATGTTGCTGCTTGAATGGGTTCGGGAATACCGCTGGCGAAAGACCATTGCAAAGTTTTGCTGTGCGAGGGAGAAAGTTTTGTTCAGTTCTTGACTGTTACCTGACCAACCATTTGTATGATGCATAAAAGCATGAGCTAATTCTAGCTTACATAGCATAATTTGACTTGACTTTGACCGGACAGCTGATGTGGTGACTGGGCAATATTAGTTCTCGCACATAAAAACTCTTTGTGAGATTCACTGATTGTTGTTCCGGGTCAGGGTGTGATGTGTATGTGTGAAAGTCTAAGAGTGGGGTGACGAGCTTTTTTATTAAAACAACGTTTCTATTTCAGACAATGTCATTTGATTATGAGATAGTTTCACCAAAAACTGGAGATTTCGGGAAGAAATTGCCGAACGGAACGTGGGATGGAGTGGTTGGAGATCTCATGAGAGGAGTAAGTATTGATCCTATTTTATAAAGTAGATTTACCTAGTAGCCTTTATTTGTGGGGCCAAAATCATCAAATGCTTTGCCCGCCCTGGGTGAGTGGTGAGAGAGAGTAACAGACTCTTACTGTCTAAAAACCACCCTCTTCTTTCTGTTCCTCTGAGTCAGGGCCGTAGTAAATTATGACGCTTGTCATCCTTTTTTACTTTGGGTCAAGCGACAGTCTTCCAAATCTAGCATCCTGTAGAGAAAGGTCTTTTGAGAGAGCAATACGAATCAGCGCGAATACGTCAAGGCCATACAAGAAGATAGTGCGAAAAACATCCCCGTAAGGTTTCTGGATGGCAAGCCTTATCTCCTAAAGGCCGGCAACGCACTCGTAATTCCTCTGGTCTTGTTTCTCATGAGCGGCGCCGATTGATTACCATCAGGTAATCTGTCAGCTCGATTGCCGACTTGTCACATAAAAACATCTCCTTGACAAAGCCTTTTTTTGTGAGGGGAAAATCATCAAATGACTTCTCCCGACCCGCCACCGTATCCTCTAGGTGGTCCTTTACAATGACGACACTCGGGCGTTTCCTCCCGCTGGATCCAAAACAGGAACCTACCGAAGCTGCCGTGCCCGGTAAGCACCTGCGTCAGGCAAAAGGTGAGGACGCCGTGGCGTCTCTCAAGCCACTCCTTGAAGAGGGGTCTTACCGCTGCTATCCTTGACAAAGCCTGGATTTGAAAAGAGACTGACCTCTGAGTTTGTTTCGGCATTTCTTGTCAGAGTACTCAGATAGGAAATGTCGGCCGGTAAAAGTGCTGTTTTAAGCCCTATATTTAAAAATAAATTGTTTCATTGTTGAAGCACAGTTTCATAATTTTCGCCAACGTTTTTACAGGAAACAGACATAGCTATTTCTGCTCTCACTATGACAGCTGAAAGGGAAGAAGTTATTGATTTTGTGGCTCCGTACTTTGAACAAACTGGAATATTGATAGGTAAGCCTAAGAATAGCTCGGTAAGAGATATAGACGAGTCCACTATAATCAATACATAGTATAAAACAAAGTCGCTTACTCTATCCCTAGATCCCTATGTACGCTTAAATCTTTAAAACTACGAAATGGATTTTGATACAGTTTTTTTATAGCGTGGAGTGGTTGAAGAGGAATTTTTATATGTACCTATATAATAACATCCATTAAAAATCACCAATCCGCCTTAACTAAGCGTAGTGGATAATGCGCAAAACTTTTCCGTGTGAGAAGAGGTCTTTGCTCAGCAGTAAGCACTTATATGCTGATGATGATGACAAATTAGTTAGTTCTAGAAGAGAACATATGTAAGTAGTGTATTATAAGCATAGTTGTTATAATAGCATTCTTTACAGTAATCCGGAAACCAATCCGAAAAACGTCACTCTTCAAATTCATGACGGTACTTCGAACAGAAGTATGGCTGAGCATAGTCGCCGCACTAGTGCTAACTGGTTTTATGATCTGGTTACTGGACAAATATTCTCCGTACTCAGCGAGAAATAATCCTGATGCATACCCTTATCCGTGCAGGTAATGCGACTTTTACCATTTTAATTGAATATTATTGATTATTGAGACTGTTATTGACTATTGAGACTGTTGTTGGCTATTGAGACTGTTACTGACTATTGAGACTGTTATTGATTATTGAGACTGTTAGTGATTATTGAGATTGTTATTGATTATTGAGACTGTTATTGATTATTGAGACTGTTATTGATTATTGAGACTGTTATTGATTATTGAGACTGCTATTGATTATTTAGACTGTTATTCACCGCTAAGAAAGTTGTGACATTTAAAGGTTATTGATACTGAAATTGATTGTTGAGGCTGCTATAAACTGCAGTTAAACCATTTCATTTCCCGTGTGGCCTTTGTTGATGGTTGAGATATTTGTTGACTATTGAGACTTTTTACGCCTGTTGAAACCGCAAGTTATTGACTGTTCTAACATTTTATGACTGCTGGAACTGGTATTGACTACTGAGACTATTTTCGACTGATGTGACTTTCTATGACTTTTGAGACTTAAATTGATTGTTATGACTATGCGATTCTTCTTAATTTTTAAGATTTTTCAGGAGTTAAGTGATTTTTCGATTTGATTTACAAATGACACAGTTACGTTGTTTTCTACTTTTCACTTTAAAATCGACTAAATTTAAAGCAGTCTAAGTAAACTTAGATACATCATAAGGATTGTATGCACCCTTCAGCCAAGTTAAAGAACACAGAATTTCTTCTTTTCAGGGAATTCACTCTCAAAGAAAGTTTTTGGTTCGCATTAACATCGTTCACTCCACAAGGTGGAGGGGAGGCACCCAAAGCCTTATCTGGGAGAACCCTTGTAGCTGCTTATTGGCTATTTGTGGTGCTAATGCTGGCTACATTCACTGCGAACCTGGCCGCCTTCCTCACTGTAGAGAGGATGCAGGTATTTGTATCTGATCATCATCATCATCATCATTCGTTTGTAAATGTTTCAAGGTCAGAGCCATGCTTCGGTACATTTGGACTGGTTAGACTTGATGGTCAGAGCCATGCTTCGGTACATTTGGACCGGGTAGACTTGATACGGCCACAGCTTCCCAAAACCGAGACGTGAAACAACGCTTGCGCTGTATTTCACTGTGTGACAGAAGTTACCGGAGACCCAACCATCCTTAAAGAGTGGCAACGCTCTTGTACCTAGCAGTTCTGGTGTTGTGGATTGGCGTCGATATGGTCGGCGCTGGATGATTAATCATCAGCTGTAGGAGAGTCATGCTTCAACACGAATGCTTACCAGATCAAAGTGATGTCACGGCCTCACAGAAAACCGGCGTTAAGAACCACAGCTTTGTGAGTTTGGTTACCGGAGGCCCAATCCTTCCCCCATATCTTCAATCCTCAAATCCCAAATAACCCACAAGAGACCGGCATCGTACTTGTAGTAACTCCTTTGGTATTATGAGTGTCCATGGGCGGCGCTGATTGCTTACCATCAGGTAATACGTCCGCTAATTTTGCCGACCCATCATCTAATACGAATCTCACTTAGTATTTTCCTAAGGAATTTTTGAAAATCTTTTTGGATATTTACAGACCCCGGTCTCGTCCCTGGAGCAGTTAGCTCGGCAGTCCAGGATCAACTACACGGTCGTGGAAGGTTCGTCAGTGCATCAGTACTTTGTCAACATGAAGTTTGCTGAAGACACTCTTTACAGGTAACATTCGTTTTTATGGGATACTAGCTTCCGCCCGCGGCTTTGCCCGCGTAGTATGTGGGTAATAAGTAGCCTATGTCCTATTCCAGAGTGAATCCTATATGCTTGTGCCAAATCTATACTAATATTATAAAGAGGTAAAATTTGTAAGTTTTTATGCAGGGGGTAATCTTTGGAACCGCTGGTCGGATTTCCAAAATTCTTTCACTGATAGATAGCTACAATGTTTCCGAGTGCTATAGGCTATAAAACATCACGCTACGAATAAATGGAGCCGGGCAGCGGCCGTTTTGGCGTGATTGAGTAACAAACATCCAAACATCGTAACTTTCGCATTTATAATACAAGCAAGAAGTAATTTTGGTAAACGTGCGGACGGACCACCTGATGGTAAGCAAATTATGCGTCTGTGGATACTCAAAACACTGAAGGGGGTCATTTCTCCACTCACACGGAGTATCAAAGTTCCTCATCATAATCATCTTCAGCCTATAGGTACCTACCTAAATATCGATTGCCGAGCAAAGGTGTCTTGTAAAATCGCTTGCTCAATGTCAATCCCGAAATCTCCGAAATCCTATAAGGCCCGTAACGCACTTCTAACTTCTTTGGTGTTCCAAGCTTCTATTGGCTATGAGCGCGACAGTGGCGACGCGTAGCGTTTACAACATTTCAGGAAGCTGTCAAATAATAACAATGTATAAAATTATAATTTTCTTTGCAAATATAAATAAAACCAAAGATTAAAATATTATTGATGAAAATATTTAAGTGCAATTTATTCATTAGTTTTACTGTAAAATGAATATAATAATAAAAACCTAAAAACCAAAAGGCTATGTGCAAAACGAGTAGTGGCGGACAGATAACGACCGCAGCGCACAACACGGCACAAATTGGAAACAAAACCGATCATCGGTTGTTGGTTTTTATTATTATATTCATTTTGCAACAAAACTGTTCAATAAATTGCAGTTAAATAGTGTCAACAATACTATTTTAAACTTTGGTTTAATTCATATTTGAAAATAAAATTATAACGTCTTTTTTTTCTTTGTGAGGGGAAAATCATCAAATGACTTTTCCCGCCCAGGGCCGGGCGGGAGGGAGTGTCAGACTCTTACTGACTAAAAACCCCCCTGTTACTTCTCCTGCTCTGTGCCGAGGTCGCGGTGCCTCATTGCGCTTACTCCGCAACCGCGGCTGAACATCAGCCCTATAGGGCCCCGTCTATGGTGGTCTATTGGCTCTTTGAGGCGCGCGTGGAACGCTACGTACGCTCGGGCCTGAAATTATAATGTCTAAATTGTTATTATTTGACAGCTTCCGCAAATGTTGTAAACGCTACGCGTCGCCACCGTCGCGCACATAGCCAATACTACAATACCGCCGACGTATCTTGGCGAGTCTGAAGTTAGCCGATTAGCTGCGCAGTACACAATTTTGTTCCTAAAAGATCCATTGCGCAGACAAACGGCTAACTTCAGACTCGCCAAGATACAGCGGCCGTACTGTAACTGGATTCTTACGTACACCTAGCGGTAGGCCACAGATTACCATGAAAAAAAGAGTGTCACTTACCTACTACATTTTTTTTTTATTATTTAATAGATCGGCAAACGAGCAGACGGATTACCTGATGGTAAGTAATCAGCGCCGCCCATGGACACCCGCAACGGAGGAGTTACAAGTGCATTGCCGACCTTTTAGGGATTAGGGATTTAGAGAATTAAGGATTGAGGAGGGATTGGTAGTGGGGAAAGATTGGGCCTCCGATAACCTCACTCACACGGCGAAAAACAACGCTGTAGTTGTTTAACGCCGGTTTTCTGTGAGGCCGTGGTATCACTCCGGTCGAGCCGACCCATTCGTGCCGAAGCATGGGTCTTCCACACTTGTACTGTACATAATTTGAGTATTTCTTTTTCAGGGTTTGGAAAGAGATCACTTTGAATGCGACATCAGATCAGGCGCAGTACAGAGTGTGGGATTATCCAATCAGGGAACAGTATGGACATATACTGTTAGCCATAAATGCTTCTCGTAAGTTTGGCTCCATTCTTATTAGTAAAGTCAGCGTTTTTTTTTTATGGTATAAGTCGGCAAACGAGCAGACGGATTACCTGATGGTAAGCAATCGACGCCGCCCATGGACACCCGCAACACCAAAGGAGTTACGAGTGCGTTTCCGGCCTTTTGGGGATGGGGGTTGCGGATATAAGGATTGGGAAGGGATAGGGGAAGGGGAGGGATTGGGCCTCCGGTAACCTCACTCACACGGCGAAACACAACGCTGTGGGTTGTTTCACGCCGGTATTCTATGAGGCCGTGGTATCACTCCGTACGAGCCGACCCATTCGTGCCGAAGCTTGGCTCTCCCACACTTACAGCGTCAGATGTATAGGGACATTTAATGTACTCAATTCGTCATCATCATCATCAGCCTACAAGTGCCCACTGATGAGCAAAGGCCTCTTCTCACACGGAGAACGTTTGAGCATTAATCACCAAGCTTGCTCAAAGCGGGATGGTAATTTCAAACTATGCAGCTATGCAATTCTCAGAAGTTAATTCGCGAAATCACTCCTGGAGCTAAGGCCTCTTCTCACAGGGAGAAGAGAGGTTTGAGCATTAATTACCACGCTTACTCAAGGCGCATTGGCGATTTCAAACTTATAATCAGAATAAGTCCAGCTATGCTAATTTGCGAAATCACTTCTGAATCCGCGCTGAAATCTTCCTTTCTTTCTTTTTTTTCTTTCTTTCTTTTTATATAAAACGTTGCCCCACATTAGTATTTTCTCCTGTGTCGTGGGTGCGGTTACAAACATACAACTTCACATACACATGACATCCAGACCCGGAACAACAATTTGTGGATCACACAAAGAGTTGTTCCGTGCGGGAATCGAACCCGCGACACGTTGCACGGCTGCCAGTTACCCAGCCACCGCACCAACCGTGCAGTCAAATCATGTTTTTATTTAAAGTTTCGTATTCTCAAATGTAGTGAAATCTACATTAGCGCCACCATGTGAATGACGAAGTGAAAGGAACTTAAACAAGTGAGTATTTTGACGTTTGTGCACAGGCGAGATGAGAAGCGAAGTGTTATGTGACTATCGAGATGAGATTTGCCATTTACAGAATAGCACGACAGGTTTCCACACGATGTGAATATGACTTAGAAAAAGTCACATTGGTACTTGCCTATATTTGAGCCTGAACGAACATGGCTACCACAAAGTTTTCGACATAGTAATATTTTATAGAGAGAGGAGAGGAGGAGAAGTCGTGATGGCCCGGAGGTTAAGGAGCCCGCTTCTCATGCATGAGGATGTGGGTTCGAAACCTGGCAAGTACCATTGTGACTTTTTCCAACTTATATGTACTTTCTATGATTATTTAGACACCACTGACATACGGTGAAGGTGAACATAGCGAGGAAACCTGGACTTATAATTTCTAATTATAAGTTTGAAATCGCCAACCCGCATTGAGTAACCGTGGTGATTAACGCTCAAGCCTTCTCCGTTTGAGAAGGGGCCTTTGCTCAGCAGTGGGCACTAATAGGCTGATGATGATGATGATGTTGAATATTTTATAATTTTTCCAGAACCTGTACCAGATGCCAAGACTGGTTTCCAACAGGTCAACGAGCATACTGACGCGGATTTCGCATTTATACACGATTCGGCTGAAATAAAGTAAGTGCTAATACAGGAATAGGTCTGCAAATAAGCAGACGGATTACCTGATGGTAAGCAATAAACGCGGCCCATGTTTGCGTTGTCTGATTTTTGGGGATTAGGGCTTTGGATGTTAGGGATTGGGGGAGGGAAGGATTGGGCCTCCGCTAACCTCACTCACGCGGCGAACCTTAACGCTGTGCTCTTCCACGCAGGTTTTCTGTGAGGCCGTACACGCACTTCAGTCAAGCCTACCCATTCTTGGCGAAAATTAGCTCTCCCACATTTAGTACTCTAAAATTTTCTTTTTATTTCACAAGATAAATCTTTGCATAAAAAGTCAGTTATCAGAGAAAGAACGAAGTTCTCAATTTAACCTATATGTAGGTTTGTCTGTCCACGATCATCTCCCGATGCCCTTAACAGATTTTGGTGCGGTTTTCCAGATATGAAGTAACGAGAAATTGTAATTTGACTGAAGTGGGCGAGGTTTTCGCTGAGCAGCCATACGCTATAGCAGTGCAGCAAGGGTCCAGGTTACAAGAAGACTTGTCCAGGGCACTGCTGGAGCTGCAGAAAGAACGATTCTTGGAACAGCTTGCTTCTAAGTAAGTATCAGGCTTTGTCGGCAAACGGTTAGATGGTTTACCTGATGGTAAGCAATCAGCGCAGCTTAGGAACACCTGCAACGCAAGAGGAGTTGCAAGTGTTTGCCGACTTTTGGGGATTAGGGTTTTGGAGATCAGGGTTTCGGAGATTAGGGTTTTGGAGATCAGGGTTTCGGAGATTAGGGTTTTGGAGATTAAGGGATTGGTGAAAGGTTTGAGCAACCGGTAACTTTAACTGGGAACACAACGCTATGGTTGTTTACTGCTTGAAGATATCCAGGTTTTATACATTTGAGATTTGTTTTGTAGATATTGGAATGAGTCTGCGAGACAAGCTTGTCCTGATGCTGATGAATCTGAAGGAATCACACTCGAGAGTTTGGGTAAGCTGAAGTCTTTTCTAAACCTTACCTTACATTGTTCAGCCGAGGTAACGGGGTAAGCGCAATGAGGCACCGCGACCTCGGCCCAGAGCAGGAGAAGGAACGGGGAGGGTTCAAGTCAGTAAGATTCTGACACTTCCACCCACCCTACCCTGGGCGGGAGAAGTCATTTGATGAATTTTCTTTCACAAATAAAACCTTACATTAAGATATTGACCTTATGTCGTGGATTTTTTTTAGGATAACAGCAGACGGTTTACCTGATGGTAAGCAATCGGCGCCACCCATAGACACTCGCAATGTTAAAGATTTGCAAGCGCATTGCCGGTCTTTTGGGGGTTAGGGGTCTGAGGATTGGGGATTTGGAGATTGAAGATGGGATGGAGAGCCTCGAGTAACCTCCTTCACACGGCGAAACACTAAGAAAATGTTGATTCTAGTTGATTTTCTGTGAGGCCGTGGTATCACTCCGGTCGAGCCGACCCATTCGTGCCGAAGCATGGCTCTCCCACACTTTTACACAATTACTTTTGAAACGTCAAAATAGTATTAGTCTGTCAGTCTGTTCGTCAGTGAAGTTAGGTGCTCGAGTGCATGGTTCTCTTACACTAAAAATGTTATGATTAAAATAAATCCTAATCCTTACTTATATTATAAATGCGAAAAAAATCTGTCTGTCTGTCTTTTCTTCACGCTTAAACTACTGAACCGATTTCTGTGAAATGTGGTACAGTACAGATATAGTTTGGAACTCGAGAAAGGACATAGGATAGTTTTTATACCAAAAATCTGCAGGAAGTCACTATTCCACGCGAACGAGAGTCGCAAGCTAAAAGCTAGTAGTCAGATAAATGTTATCTAAGGAATAAAATTGTTGTTGTCACTGTCTTATACAAACATTCTGACGCGACAGCATCATCATAATTCCCCAGGTAACTTTTATTCACCATTGAAAAATCAGCCGTATATCACATTAAATTTAAAAACTATTCTTAATTCCAGGTGGAGTTTTTATCGCAACACTCTTTGGGTTAGGCCTAGCGATGTTAACGTTGGCCTGGGAAGTATTTTACTACAAGCGAAAGGAAAAGAACAAAGTCCAATCATTCGATACGAAACCAGAAAAGCTCGCTTTCGAGTCAAAAACCAGTCTAGAATCAAAAGTAGCTCAATCCGTAGCCAAAATACGAAAGAGAGGAAAGATCGGAAAAAAGTCGACTGTCGCCAAAAACGTCACTTTTGGGGATAGTTTTAAACCTGTTTCGGAAAAGGGCGTGTCTTATATTAGCGTTTTTCCCAAAGATTATAGGCCTTAAAAGGTAGCTGATTGAAATTGCACGTTTTTTTTTGGTTAAAGTTGTCCCACCCTAGGATTTTCTCCTGTGTCGTGGGTGCGTTTACAAACATACAATTTCACATGCACATCACACCCAGACCCGGAACAACAATCTGTGGATCACACAAAGAGTTTTTTCGTGCGGGAATCGAACCCGCGACACGTTGCGCGGCAGCCAGTTGCCCAGCCACCGCGCCAACCGTGCAGTCATTTTTAAATCACTACATAGTATAAAACGAACTTGCTTTCTCTGTCCTTATATCCCTATGTATGCTTAAATCTTTGAAACTACGTAACTGATTTTGATGCGGTTTTTTTAATAGATAGAGTGATTAAAGAGGAAGGTTTACTTATATGTATAACTAGCGGCCCGCCCCCGCTTCGCACGGGTCCATATATCTCGCTAATAGAGAAAGGTCACTTATTCCAATCTTCCCCTCTACTTTTCTAATATTTTCTTTGATAAGAACCTTCTCCTGAATATAATAAATACAACAAAAAAAAACAATACGGTAGTTTCCAACTAGTCAAATTCAATACTTTTATTCAAATGTCAAAAACGATACTTTTCTATGACATTTGTATGAAATACTGAGTTATGACGTCATAGTATTTTTCCGTCAAATAGCTTACTTATTTCTTAATAATTAGGTAGCTACAAAATATCTAAAACTTAGTGTATAGATCGATCAATGAATAAAAATATAGTTATTTTTCGATATTTTATTATATTGAAACGTCGAATTAATTTATTTTTGACTTAGGAAACTACCAAATTGTTGTTTCGGGTTTGGGGCATTTGTATGTTTGTAACCCCACCTACTACACAGGAGAAAATCCTTATGTAGGGCAACTGTAAAAAAAAAATTATTGCCCTTGTGTCCGCCACCCAGCTGTACATTAGTCCTTTAGTAGTTTCTATACTTTAAGCGTAAAAATTAGTATAAGCACAAAATTAATAAATTTAAGTAGAACAAAATAAAACACATAAAACAGTAAACTAGTTTTATTTATTTACAAAATACCAACTAAAACAGTTCTTAAATACAATAAATCTGTCTTACTCAGAGATACATTTTTAATGATTACTTAAATTAATGCTAAGTAACGATTTTACAAGAAAACAATTACTTAGGGAAGGGATAAATAATCATTAAAAATCTGAGTACGGCGTATGGAGGGTAGAAGAAAGAAAAACGGTTTTACAAGGAGATAATTGCAAAGGTATTTTTCGATGTCAAAGGTCGGCAAACGAGCGGACGGATTACCTGATGGTAAGCAATCAGCGCCGCCCATAGACACTCACAATACCAAAGGAGTTACTACGATACGTTGTGGGTTTTTTGTGGGTTATTAAGGATTTAAGGATAGGAGATAGGGGGGGGGGGGGAGTGCTGATCATTGTACCTCTGGTATACTCCAACGCGAAGGAAAACATAAGTTTTTAATCGATATACCACGGCCTTAGAAAACTGGCGTGAAATAACTACAGCGTTTAAGAGGAGGCCAAATGTTTTTCCCTCCCCTATCCCTAAATCTACAAAACCCTAATCTTCAAAAGGAACGCACTTGTAATATCTCTGGCGTTGCCATTCTCTATTGATGGAACTGATTTCTTACATCACATCATCAGCCTATAAGCGCTTACTGCTGAGCAAAGGCCTCTTCTCACACGGAGAAGGATTGAGCATTAATCACCACGCTTGCTCAATGCGGGTTGACGATTTCAAACTTATAATTAGAAATTATAAGTCCAGGTTTCCTCGCAATGTTTACATTCACCGCATGTCAGTGGTGTCTAAATAATCATAGAAAGTATAGATAGCTCGGAAAAAGTCATATTTGTACTTGCTAGGTTTCGAACCCACACCCTCCAGATTATTATCTAGACGGATTACCTGATGGTAAGCAATCGTCGCCGCCCATGGACACTCGCAGTACCAAAGGAGTTAGCACAAGTGCGTTGAGGGCCTCTTGTGAGTTATAAGGGATTTACGTATATGAAATGATAGGACACATTTTACATAGGTACAGAAATAATTCTCCTTCCATCTACCCTCAATAGCACGGCTGTAAAAAAATAATAAACCAAATAAAAAACCTACCAAAACACCCTTGCCGTAGGTTTTTCTACCAAGGTAGGATTGGTAGCATTACTGTCGAGCGCTTTCCTACCAAACTGGGTAGTAAAATGGTCCAAATTTAGATATTCACCGTCATCAATTTCTTTGATTAATTTTCTTACTTTATCTCTCGTTTTCTCTACGAAACAAGCTGCCAGTTTCATCTCCATGTCAGCATTTCTTAGACCGATACAATATGCCCTGTAAAAGGATAAAGGATAGTTTTAAAATGGATTCTCGTTTACTCATTAATTCAGGTGAGTAAGTCGTTAACTATACTAATATTATAAAGAGGTAAAATTTGTAAGTTTGTATGTAGGTGGTAATCGTTGGAACCGCTGGTCGGATTCCTAAAATCTTTCACTGATAGATAGCTACAATGTTCCTGAGTGCTATAGGCTATAAAACGTCACGCTACGATCAAATGGAGCCGAGCAGCGGGTGAAACCGCGCGAGAGTAGCTAGTGCTAGTTTTCAATAATTTTATTTTTATTATTCTTACCTTGAAGCTCTAGCTAAGACTGCTGACATTACTAAAATTTCAGTTGCAGCTTCAGCTAACCGACCCAGCTCCCTAAAAAATAAACAAAATAATAATCACCAATAAACTCATACACAGACAGAAGGAAAGCTGGCGTGAAACAACCACAGCGTGAGAGAGGTTACTTGAGGTTCAGACTCCAAAAAACCGTTATCCCCAAAAGTCCGATAACGCACTTGCAACTCTTGATTGTTGCGGTTGTCCATGGGCAGCTATGATTGCTTACCATCAGGTAACTCTCCATCTTAAAAAAATAATAAAAACACAACCATTTCATAGTACTAAAATTAAATTTAAACCGCCAATATCTCGGTGATTGGTAGTAATACACAAATGTAGTTTCCACTACTGGAAACTTAACTACATTCTTTATTTAGCTACGTATTTCCTCGCATATGACAACAGATTTTAATTCCACCGTCAAAGACCACCCACAAAAACTGAATAAGACAATGAAACAATTTCTTTCCTTAATTCCAATTTCTCAAAATGTAATTCCCACGACACAAAATATTTAAAATTAAACCCATACTTCAAATTGATTGAACCCCGCTTTACAAAAACATCAATCGCCAATTCACAAAATCATTAATCCTCACTTCAAAAAACTTACGTGTAAGCTGAGGATATTTTGACGCCGTGTCTCGCCATGAGGGTCTCACAGGCGAACCTCATTCGTAGCACACAGTACTCCAGCTGTTCAGAGGGCTGCTTTAGGGAGGGATGAAGATATTCTGCCAAGTAGAGGGTGAGTTTTGGATCGTCTTTCTCCTGAAAAAGGAATATTTAATATATTTGTTGATTTTTATTCCTTCGATATCCTATTTTTATTGATAGAGGCAAGTGTAAGTGTGGGAGAGCCATGCTTCGGCACGAATGGGTCGGCCTCACAGAAAACCGGCGTGAAACAACCACACCGTTGTGTTTTGCCGTGTGAGTGAGGTTACCGGAAGTCCAATCCGCTCCCTTCTCTACATCCCTTCATCAGCCTATAAGTGCCCACTGCTGAGCAAAGGCCTTTTTTCATAAGGAGAAGGTTAAAAGCATTGATTGAAGCGCTTGCTCAATGCGGGTTGGCCTCTACATCCCTCTTCAATCTTTAAATATCCGAAACCCTTATCCCCAAAAGGCCGGCAACGCACTCTGAACTCTTTTGCTGTTGCGGTTGTCTATAGGCGGTGCTGATTGCTTACCATCAGGTAATCCGTCTGCTCGTTTGCCGACTTATACCATAAAAAAACGGATATCCGACAGTTTGGTTTACGGTTACGAAGTTCCATAACATGCGTGAGGCTGATGATTTGATGAAGTAAAGCAAGTATTGACTTGACTGCACGGTTGGTGCGGTTGCTGGACAACTGGCTGCCGTGCAACGTGTCGCGGGTTCGATTCCCGCACGGAACAAGTCTTGTGTGATCCACAATATGATTCCGGGTGTAAGGACATGCTTTTGCCGATCCCTATTACGACAGTCGTCGCTACAATAACATGTCACGTTTTGCAAGTATAGCATTAATATTCTAGTAACTAAGTAATTTGATTTGAATTGAATTGTACTGTTATAATTAGACATTAATAAACCTGACTTCAGAATGAACATTTGTTTCCATCTGCAACCCATCCTCTTGGATATGTCACCGGAAAATAACAAGATCCGTAAGTTTATCAATTTACTAGGAAGTTTATAAACTTTCGTAAGATTCTAAACGGGAGATAAATTGTAATATTTTACGTCCACATTTTCGTTAATTTATCAATTTCCGACGTCATACGGTAAATTTATAAACTAACGAATATCTATTCGTTAGATTTTATGTGGTTCGACCAATCACAGAAACTCGTTTTTAAATATACGATGTTTGAAATACAATGCCTGGTTCCTCTCTGGCACGGATGTAGTTAGAGTTAAGTTTTCTATTATCAGTTTCAATAAGCTATTTAACAGTTACTTGCTAAAATACAGTTCCGTGGCCAGCAATGGCGGCCGCGAGGAAGGAGAAGTGACACGTGACAGCCAACCAATCAGATCGCGCGTAGCGTTGGGTTACTGCTTACTTATTATTTTACGAGTGAGTTCAGTAAGTTTATCAATTTAGGAAAATGTGGACGTAAAATATTACAATTTATCTCCCGTTTAGAATCTTACGAAAGTTTATAAACTTCCTAGTAAATTGATAAACTTACGGATCTTGTTATTTTCCGGTGACAGATATACTACACGGGTCTGGGTGTGATGTGCATGTAAAATTGTATGTTTGTAACCGCACCTGAGACACAGGAGAAAATCCAAATGTGGGGCAACGATTTAAAAAAAAAAAGAAAAAGAAATAAAAAGGGTTACCTGATGTCTGTTAGCTAGAACCTTCTTAAAGATGAACGTTGGATGCATGAGGGGATTTCTAATCTGTTTTACTTCTTCCGACATCACTTTGCCGGCATGATGGATGCCGTTGAGAGCTGAAAAATATACATAAATATAGAAAAAATATTACAAAATCAGACTTCTACAGTTTTGGACAAGAAGTTTAGGGATTCGGTAATCTGGAATCATAATTGTGGAATACAATACTGCGGTTGTTTCAAGCATGTCCTCTGAAAGGTCTTGGTGGAAAAAATCTGCAGGAAATCACTATTACAGGCGAACAAAGTCGCGAGCAAAAGCTAGTCCTTGATAAATTATAAGTCTAACCCATCCACTTGAATCATTCTCTCTATGAAAAAAAAAACCTCATCAAAATCCGCCACGCAGTTTCAAAGATCTAAGCACACATAAAGACAGACTTTAATTTTAAACTATGTGGTTATACCTATAAACATGTTCACACTATCCAGGGTTTCGCCCCTGGTGGCGACATGCCGCATATCGTCCAGCAACTGTTTGCATTCTTCCTCCTTGTCCAACGCTGGTATCGTGAGGAGATGCAGCATCGATGTCAATCCGTGGTTTGCTATGAAATTCCTGAAAAAAAAAACATTGGCTTCACTATTTATTATGTTTTCGGCTTACTCACGTAATAATTTGACGAGATACTCGACTAGTTTCAACCCATGCTAGAGGCCCATATTCATGAGCAACATTCCGCGACACGCGACTCGGCGACTGTCGCGCTGCTACAGCTGCTGGTTGAGTAGCAGCGCGATAGTCGCCGAGACGAAAACATAATAAATAATTTAGAATGTCTCACGAAAGTTATAATAAAAATTGGCTTCACTAATTGTGGATAAAACGTCATGGTAGCCAGGAGGATAAGGCGCCCACTTCAAGTATTAATGTCACTTTTCCCGAGTTATAAGAATACTAGCTGCTCTCGCGCGGTTTCACCCGCTGCACAGCTCCATTTGATCGTAGCGTGATAGCCTATAGCACTCAGGAACATTGTAGCTATCAGTGAAAGAATTTTGGAAATCCGACAAACAGTTCCATTAACTATACAGTCAAATATAATATAAAATTATATAAACTGCTATATTTATACACACTGCTATATATTTTAGGAATCAAAAAAGAAATAAGAATTTTATTGCGCGCAATGTAAAGCAAACGGGCTTCGTGTCATTGTGTGCGTAGGTTCACAGCTTAGCATTAAAACGCTGTGATAAGTACGTAGGTCGACGTTTTACTTCGCAACAACAAAACAATACTGTAAAATAAAAATCCTACTGAGATGCACGATGTTTTTTGTGCGTGTCTGCATTTATTTATTACGTACATTACTGTTCGTAACTTCAAATGCGTAATTTATTTAGAAAAATCGAAAATTCAGTTAATGTTTGTTTGGAAAAAAAAATGTAATAATACCTAGAAATCGATTGTGCAAAACAAAAAATTAAAAATGCATCTTTTACCTTCCATATCTCGAGAACCCGTGGAGTCCCAGCTATGGTCTTAAAAAAAAATGATCCAAATAATGGGTAGAATACGTGGCTTTCGGCTTCGTTAAGTGTCTTTTTACACCCTGTATTAATATAATTATAATTATGCGGAAAAACTTCCTTATGGACCATTCCTCTAAATTACATACCAAGCCCTATTCCTCTCTCCTACTTACTAGCTTTGCTGTGCCCGACAGGGTCCATAGTGATTCTGCTATATTTTTATTTATAAGACCTAATGTACACTATGGAACGCAATAAAGAATTGAGTAATTAAGCTTACCCTCTACATACAAACTTACAAATTTTATCTTTTTATATATTCATCATCAGCGTGTAAGTGCCCACTGCTGAGCAAAGGCCTCTTCTCACACGGAGAAGCTTAGAGCATTAATCACCACGCTTGCTCAATGCGGGTTGGCGATTTCAAACTTATAATTAGACATTATAAGTCCAGGTTTCCTCACGATGTTTACCTTCATCGTATGTCAGTGGTGTCTAAATAATCATAGAAAGTACATATAACTTGGAAAAAGTCACATTGGTACTTGCCAGGTTTCAAACCAACACCCTCATGCATGAGAAGCGGGCTCCTTAACTTCCGGGCCACCACATTTTTTTTATATCTTTTACATTAGTATACCTAAATAAAAAAATATCGCCAAAGCACTTGGAGCAAGGTCAGGGGTCAGGAAGAGGTAAAATACTACAACAATACGGTAGTTTCCAAATAGTTAAATTCAATACTTTTATTCAAACGTCAAAAACTATACTTTTCTATGAAATTTGTATGAAAAACTGAGCTATGACGTCATAACTTTTTTGCGTCAAATGGCATACTTATTTCACAATAATTAGCTAAACAATCTAAAACTTGGTGTATCGATCGATCGATGAATAAAAGTATAGTTATTTTTCAATATTTTTTTTTGTATTGAAACATCGGATTAATTTATTTTTGACCTAGGAAACTACCTACCCAATTGTTTCGATTAATAAAAAACAATTCTTTACCTGCACATAGCCACTTCCACTTCAGCATCTGGCTCCGAATATCCATCTAGGAGTCCAGCTGTGAAGTAATCCGCGCTCTCACTGGCGTAGATATCAAGCAACGCGTTCCCAACAGTGGACTGTATTGTTGTCAGCTCCGATAACGGTTTCCCTGTAATAATATACCAAAGAGTCTGTATGTGAAACTGATTTAAAAAGAGTAACCATGGAGTTTCTTGCTCGTTCTTCTCAATAGAAATCTACACTTTGGAACGAGCGAATAGCTTCACTAAGAGGACTGACCGACAGACTGACACTTTGTTTCTTTAATTTCAAATAAAAATGCAAATGTGCCTGTAAAGGTCTAATTGAAATAAATGATTTTTAAACCTCGAAGCAAAAAGAGGGGTGTTTTATGTTTGACGTGTCTGTCTGTCTGTGGCATCATAGCTCCTGAACGGATGAACCGATTTCAATTTAGTTTTTTTTTGTATTTTAGGTGTTTTACGGGCAAATGTTCTTAGACATTTTGACACATGAAAATCGATTGAGTCTTTTAAAAGTTATGGGGGGTTAAAGTGGGGAAAAAAACCCGAATGTCTGCAAATATGCTCAAGTGGGGTATCAAATGAAAGGTTATGGCTTGTACGTCACAAAAAATAAAACTTAAATAAGTTTGACGTGTCTGTTTTTTTTACTTTTTAAAGGTAGCTTATGTTTTATGTGTCAGGGTTTTTATTTTAATTTATATATTTTAACTTTATATTTTTTAGTTAGATGAGTATTGTAAAAAAATATAATATTTGGTTCTTAGAACGTATTAGGTAATGATCTTAATCCGTATTACGAGTACGTCTAAGATTAAATGGTAAACATGTACAATCTGAAGTAAATAGACCACAAAAGTATAATATTTATAAAGTATAATCACAACATTCGGTCATAGTATCCAATGTATTGCTACTTAGTGTATGTGTGCAATAAAGTATATATTAATCAATAAATAAATAAATAAATATTTTTTTGCTTAATTTAGAGAAAAAATACGTGATTCTTCGCCGCGACCCCCCCCCCCCCTCCCCTCTTCAACGTGAGATTAAACGAGATTAGACTCGATCCTCCTCCCCTGAAACATATCTGATATTTTATAAACGACCCTTAAAAGCCTTAATAATAACTTACCAGAGAAGGCTCTGGGTCTGGTGTACTCCACCACGCTTTGGACAGCAGTTGACAGTCGAGAACGGCAGAGAACAGACGCGAACAGACGAGACAGTCCAAGGATCTTCGCCAACCTGTCATTGTTGATCATTTCCAGAGGTGTGGCTGGAAAGAAGATCATATAAATAATAGTTTTATGGAATACTAGCTGCTTTCGGGCGATTTCACCCGCTGTTCGGCCCCTACAGATCGTGTGGTGGCGTGATATTTTATATTTTATAGCCTATACTTCAATGTGTTCACTATAATAACGCGTTTAGGGTGCTGGTGGGGCTGCCCCGGTTCTGTAGCGCATCAGGGATGTTTGCAGATGCACACATAGACTGTTTTTATGCAACCATGCGCAAAAAGTGTGCTTCCCTGGAGATCAGGGTGCGGGCCAGCTCCAACATTATCTTGAACATGGTTGCAAGCAGGCTGGACTGCATATACATGGGACGATGTAATGCCATTTCCCATGGATTAATGTAGGATGTATCTGACAAAAAAAAAACAACAATTGTGATTACTAACATAGATGTAAGCTTTAGTAACATTTTGTGATTCCTGGTTACTTTTAAAGAAATGATTTATTAATTACTAGCGGCAAGCCCCCGCCTCGCTTGGGTCCAACTATCTCGCTATCAAAGCTTCACTTTTTCCTAATCTTCCCCTCTACTTTTCTAATATTTTCTTCTTCTTTGATAAGAACCTTCTCCTGACAATAACGAACACAACAAAAAAAGAATTAGCAAAATTGGTCCAGGCGTTGTTGAGTTATGCGCTTACCAACACATTTTGCGATCCATTTTTATATATTAGATTATTATTTTGTTTGTTCTTTCCTTTCATATTATTATAGCCTTCCTCGATAAATGGACTTATGAACACAAAAAGATTTGTTCAATTCGAACCAGCAGTTCTGGAGATTAGCGCGTTCAAATAAACAAACTGTGCAGCTTTATAATATTATATATAATAATTAATAATAATAAGTAGGTATAAGTATGTAACAATATTGGTCAGGGGCAGGGACCATAGTATTTCTATAGTTATCATCTACCAGTCTATAGCTACCCACACCCATAACCATATAATCTTTTACCATTTTGCACAATAGTCCTGCATCAACCGGGGATTGTCCTTAGGTGCACTTTTATGGTGCATACAGGGATAATTTCCGGCTAATGTGCCATCACATTTATATTAAAACTGTTCGGGCCTCTGCGGGTTGGCTTCCACTCCTCGTATGCCTTCCAAAGGTCCGGGACCCTGTGGTCCCGTGAAAGGAAAGAAGTATAAGTATAGACTAGCGACCTGCCCCGGCTTTACACGGTTGTAATGCTAATACTCAATTTCTCCACTATTTAATGGATGTTATTATACACATAAACCTTCCTCTTCAATCACTCTATCTATTAAAAACCGCATCAAAATCCGTTGCTTAGTTTTGAAGATTTAAGCATGGGTACCTAGGAATATAGGGACAGAGAAAGCGACTTTGTTTTATACTATGTAGTGATTTACGTAACTGTAAAACGGGATAATTTAACTGCACTGTTGACGCGGTAGCTCGGTAACCGGCTACAATGTGTCGCGGGTTCGATTCCCGGACGGAACAACACTATGTCTGAACCAAAAATTGTTGTTTCGAAACGTGTATGTGAAATTGTATTTTTGTGCACGCACCCACGACAAAGCAAAAAAATCGATTTATTCACAATCAAAACCATTTTAAAGATAATTAATCTACCTCCCTTAGAACAAATTTTTTATAAAAAAAACTCAGAATTATATGCAACCTACTTACTAGATGATTTATAGAATCGAAGGCATTACTTTGCGGAAATCCATGACATTAAATGTTATGTCGTGGTGGCCCCGGGGTTCGGGCGCCCGCTTTCGAAACCTGGCAAGTACCAATGTGACTTTTTCCGAGTTATATGTACTTTCTATGATTATTTAGACACCACTGACATACGGTGAAGGTAAACATCGTGAGGAAAACTAGACTTATAGTGTCTAATTATAAGTTTGAAATCGCCAACCCGCATTGAGCAAGCGTGGTGATTAATGCTCAAACCTTCTCCGTGTGAGAAGAGGTCTTTGCTCAGCAGTCGGCACTTATAGGCTGGTGATGATGATGATGATGATGAAATGTTATGAAAAATGTGTCGTTTTATGGTAGATTATGGTTTGGGATTGCATCCTGCAACAAGCCTGAAATTTTATCACGGAATTTTAAACTCCATATTTTCATAACATTTAATTTTTAGCTACTTTATATTGAAGAAACCAAGAATAAAGTAAGTTTTAAAAACATACCAGGAGTTTTCATGAAAGAAACGAAAGCTCCGTTGGAGCTGACTCCGGATGCTCCAGGGTGTACGAGGAATGCTTTCAACTGGGCAGACTCATACGTAGCCAGCACCAGGATGTATCCATTGCTATAATTGCAGACTTTCTCACCATTGATGTACCATATTCCTGTAACATTATAATATTGTAAGCATGGTGTTAAGTGTGGGAGAGCCATGCTTCGGCACGAATGGGTCAGCTCGACCGGAGTGATACCACGGCCTCACAGAAGACCGACGTGAAACAACCACAGCGTTGTGTTTCGCCATGTGAGTGAGGTTACCGGGGGCCCAATCCTTCCCCGCCCCCAATCCCTCCTCAATCCCTAAATCCCCAAATCCCTAATCCCTAAAAGGTCTGCAACGCACTCGTAACTCTTCCGTTGCGGGTGTACATGGGCGGCGCTGATTGCTTACCATCGGGTAATCCGTCTGCTCGTTTGCCGACCAATTACATAAAAAAAAAAATGGGAGCCAAGCTTCGGCATAAATGGGTCAGCTTGACCTGAGTGATGGACCTGGACCTGGCAAGTTGTTGTTAAATGTGGAGCAAAAAGGGGGAAGTTTTTATAAAGCATAAAGTGGGGGGCTATTGGCTGATGGTGATAAGTTTGCTGTTCAGACTATATATTAATACTTAATTACACAATTTTTTTTTTTATTATATGATAGGTTGGCGAACATGCAGATGGATTACCTGATGCAGCCTAAGCAATCAGCGCTGCCTGAGGACACCCACAATAGAGTTCAGCATGCATTGCCAACTTTTTGGGGATTAGGGATTGGAGGAGGGGAAGGATTGGGCCACAAATTAATAAAATTACAAAAAACTAGATGTTGTGGTAGTCTGGAGATTAATGCACCCGCTTCTCATGCATAGTTTTTTGGGTTATAAGTATATTTTACTACTATCAACTCACTTAGTATATTTTTTTGGAAACCACTGATCTAGATTGAATAAAAACAATGTAAGAATGCCTAGATTCACATTTATATGATTGAAAAAATAATTGTTAAACTGCCTTGAGCAAACTTGATGGTTAATGGTCAAATCTTCTCAATTTTGAGATGAGGCCTTTACTCAATAGTTATATTATATGTTTAATTAATATAACTTACCCTGACTGTCCATTTCAGCAGCAGTTCTGAAGTCAGCCTGTGAAATTCTTTCAGCAACTCTCTCTTTAATAGCCAGAGAGACTGGCTTATCACCAGAAATCAGATCATCAATAATCATAGACAATTGCTCTTGAGATAAACCTTCTTGCAAAGCTTGGAGAGCCACCCAGTGGTCACTGATCTCTTGGCCAAGTTGGAAATCACCAGCTATGATCTCTAAATACCTTAAACTTTCAGTTATATTAGCTGCCAAGCCATTTCTTGTTAAGCTTATCGGCGCAGCATACATTTTTGTATTTTTTAACACATTTCTACGATCTTGGGCTGTTTTTTGCGGGTTCTCAAACACGTTAGATATAATATTGATCCTTTTCTCTAAAGATTCAGTTTCCTCCTTATTTAAAATCTCGGGATAAGCTAGTAATTCTTTGTTGAATATAGATGTGAAGACGTCCTTTATAAATGGCTGAATTTGAGCTTTACGACGCTCTGTTCGCTCTAGAGTGTTGATGTCCTCGAAGTTGTATTTCTCTTCTTTAACCTGAGGCTGTGTTGCAGTTGAATTATCATAGTTTATTGCAGAAAATCTAAACTTTCTGTAAAGGTTTTTAGTGACATAACTGTGATGCGTTGTGCAGATTTTACGCGCTAAATTCATTATGTGATAGCTCTAATATTGTGTTTAACTGATATTTAAATGCTTTGAGGCCGTTTTATTTAATTAAAATGCAAATATTTTCGTATTTTTACAGTAAATAACTTCGTGAACTTTTAAGGTTATGTTGACAACTGAATGTAAATTGACAGTGACATTAGTGACTTGTGAGCGAATACGTTTTGTTTTTACATTGTGTAGTATCACCTGTTAACACGACGAAAATTAAAATACAAGATCGTATTAAGGTACTACATCGTCGGTGGTCTATGCTATAGGAAAGTTGTTGAATACTTTGAGTTGAGTATTTTGGTTCTATAATAACAAATTAATGTGGATGTGAGCGAGAGGTCCGAAGAAGAACACAAAAGACCAAAACTACAAACATCAAAACACGTAGGTATATATTCGAATATATGGAAAAACAGAGATCTTCGACATTAACAGAATGAGACTAGTCTAGACATTGGTTTTGTCCATCTATCTGTACAGTTTAGAGACGTGGACTATCAGGGCAATACATTCTAAAAAAAGTGGTGTTGGCGATTAAAGCTCTAACTACCATAGACCGCCAAAAAACTGATAAATAATTATATAACAATTAGCTTAATAATATCCAAGCGGACTCCAGTGTCTTTAGTCATCTGTCATATGAAATCATTTGATTTTCCACTATCAAAAAAAGGACACAGACTATACCTACTTACATACTATACCTGCATTAAATGTTAGGGAAAATATTTAGTTTTAATTCCGCGACAAAAATCCAGGCTTGTTGCTGGATGCAATCCCACTCCTATGCAATCATGCATAATAATATGCACAAGCAGCAAGGGTGACATGCATATGCACACATACACAAAACGGAAAAACATGCCACGCAATCAAACTTATACTCGACACGTGTTTTGCCTCTCCACAGGGCATCCTCAGGAGTGATACCACGGCCTCGCAGCCGAGCGCTCGTCGAGTCAACATCTCCTGAGGATGCCCATGTCATGGATTTCCGCAAAGTAACGCTTGTTTCTATAAAGTATACTATACCTGCCTCAACATCTTTCATACATGGAATACGCATACCAATACGTTCAACAAAGACACTGATATTTAAATTCAATATTTTTATATTAATAATGAACCTTTTCATCTTTTGAACACAGTCATTTTTACAATCTCAGATGTTTTTGCGAGTTTTTCATAATTATGATACGGCGTCTAAGGAGTTGACGAATTACCTGATAGCAAGCAATCGACGCTGCCCAAAGACACCCGTAACACCAGAAGAGTTACGAGTACGTTACTGACCTTTTGGGGATTAGGGTTTCAGAGATTGGGGATTGAGGAGGAAGGCGGGACGGGGGTAAAGGAAGGATTGAGCTTACGGTAACCTCGCTCACAACGTTGGCGTAGGCAAAATACAACGTTGCGTGTGTTTCACGCCGGACCAACCCAATATGCATATGCCGAATAAGCTCTCCCACATATAAACACTTTGGTTCTCAAACACGTTGGATAGAGTGTTTTGTAAAGATTATAAAGTCTCGTGTCTAAATTAAGACACGTATATTTAAGTTTCGTTTTTTTACACATAAACTTATTTTTTAACCCCTGATGCAAAAAGAGGGGTGTTATAAGTTTGACGTGTCTGTCTGTCTGTCTGTCTGTGGCATCCTGGAGCCTGAACGGGTGAAGCGATTTCAATTTAGTTTTTTTTTGTATTAAAGGTGACTTACGTGCGGGTGTTCTCAGACATTATTGACGTAAATCGGTTGAGCCGTTTAGAAGTTATGGGGGTGTAAGTGAGGACGGGTAACCGAAGGTCTGCAAATATACTCGAGTGGGGTCTCAAATGAAAGCGCAGTGAAAGGGAATGTTGATGACTTAATCGAGAGGAAATGATATGAAAAGTATAAAATCAATTAGACTCCCCCACAAAATAGAAATATGTAGTTGATAATAAAGAGTAGGTATGGATTGGTCCCCCGACGCCACGTTTTCTTTTAATTATTACTTTTTAAAGGATTATTAGATTTTCAGTCGGGGGTTTTCTTAATTTTAATTTTTAATAGTTATTATAGTTTAGAGAGCAAAGAGTAGAACTGCCACATTTACAAGTCTAGCCCAGAGGCCAAGTTAAACCGGACAACGGACGCGTCCATTTCCCTAACTACGCTAATCACTACATAGTACAAAAAAAACTTCTCTGTCTGTATGCCTAAATAAGCTTTACCTACCTAAATATATTTAAGTGTGGGAGAGCCATGCTTCGGCACGAATGGGTCGGCTCGACCGGTGTGCTACCACGACCTCACAGAAAACCGGCGTGAAACAACTACAGCGTTGTGTTTTGCCATTTGAGTGATGTTACCTGAAGCCACATCCCAAATCTCCAAATCCCTAATCCTTAAAAGGTCGGCAACGCATTCGTATTTCCTCCGTTGCGGGTGTCCATGGGCGGCGTTGATTGCTTACCGTCAGATAATCCGTCTGCTCGTGTGCGGACCTATTACATAAAAAAAGCCTAGGTACTATAGAACGGATAATGATGCGGTTTTTTGTGTTTCAAGATAGTGTTATTGAATAGGAATGTTTACTTATGTTTATTGACATCGATAAATCGCGGTATAGTTGAGTGATTACATATTCATTTAGGTATTTGCGTTCTACAAGGTAGTGTGGTGTTAACAATAAAAGCTTATAGCTAAGAGCCGTTGTAGACCCTGTCAGGGCACAGCAAAGTACTTACAAGCTAAAATTCAAATTAACATTTTTAAAATATAATTGAAATTAAATTAAATTCGCAAGCACAACAAAAAATAGAGATAATAAAAAAATAATAATAAAAAATGTCAATATCCTTAAGAGTTAGAAATTAAATATGTCAGACTAATTAAAATTAATTATACAAGAAAAAATAATAAATAAAAACAAAATATAGTACTTTACTTATTTTATCATAATCCTTCATTCTGGTATTCATTCACTTTATAATAGCTTTTGCTTAATAGAAATAATTTTAATTTATTAATAAAGGTGTTGTATTTAATTATGTTTCTTATTTCTTCTGGCAACTTATTATATATTTTTATTGACATGACATATGTACTAGAGGCAGAGGCAGATTTGGCAGGTATCGGTATTATACACGTGCACAGAGTACATTTTAACAATAGGAAAGTGTGCATGCATACACAGCATTCTAATATTATTACTTTCATTATCATTCTCTAACGCCATCTATTGGATCTACAGCGAAAAAGAAGACCAAACTGCCATCTCTTATTCATGTTGTGAACATCATTCGTCTACGTCACGATGTAACCCGACAAATTTAAAAACACATTAAAACTCATTTTGAACATGAGCTACGTCAGACTTCGTCATTTTGTATCATTATATCCATTACTGTCCCCAGTTTTTTATTCTAAGTTTGAAGCCCCTGATACACGTGCGAACCTGGGTCCGGTCGCTAGTTATAGAGGTATTAAACTTGTGTAGTTCTGATAAAAGATCATGTCACATTTTAATTATTTAGGTACCTAGCTAGCAGCCCAACCCTATTTCGTACTGCTGTCAATTTCCACATTTTCTTTCAAAATACTTTTATACCTATTTAAATACCGCACGTGTGTAACGCTGATGCTAAATATTTCCCGTATTTAATTTTAATTTGGTTTTTTTTTATGATAGGAAGGCAAACAGTCATTCGTATTACCTGACGGTAAGCAATCAGCGCCGCCGAATGACACTCGCAACAACGGAAGAATAACGAGTGCGTTGGGGACCTTTTGGGGATTACGGATTGGGGAAAGGGAAGATAGGGCCTCCGGTAACCTCATAGTTTTTTTTTTACGCCGGTTTTCAGTATTATTGCACACATGTATAAGCCTTAATCACTCTATCTATTAAAAAACAGCATCAAAATCCATTTGATTGATTGATTGATTTAAACATACGTACATAGGGCGACTTAGTTATATACTAAGTAGTGATTAATTAAATCATTCTAAGTGGTTTTCATTATATTTTATTTTTTCACGTAGGTACTTCTGTCTATCATATTCAATTTCAGATCCGTTCAGTACATTGCCGGGGAATCTCTGAGTGGAAGCAGCGACTGTCGCAACCGAGGGACGGGCACGCTACTATATCAAAGAGCCAATAGACCACCACAGACGGGGCCCTATAGGGCTGATGTTCAGCCGGGGTTGCGGGGTAAGCGCAATGTGGCACCGCGACCTCGGCCCGAAGCAGGAGAAGGAACGGGGGGGTATTTAGTCAGTAAGAGTGTGATACTCCCTCCCACCCGGCCCTGGGCGGAGTGGGAGAAGTCATTTGATGATATTCCCCTCACAAAAAAAAAACCGCCAGGGAATCTGGAGGCGAAGGGGCGCGTCTTCGGTTTGCGTGCTGAGGTAACGTCGCCGGGGCGATACTCCTCTGCCATGTCAGATTACCGCGTGCCAGCCTGAGCTCCGGCGCGATCTCAGGGCGGAGTGAAACCAATGACTGTCTCAACCAAGGGCCAGGCTTGCAGTAGTCGAGGCGTTAAGGCCCCTTTTGGAGGAGTGGCTAGAGACACGTAACCATCTGACACAGGTGCATACCAGACATGAACATTTTGGGGGTCCCTGTTTCGGATCCAGCGGGAGCAAACGCCTAGGTGTCGTCACTGTAAGAAGGTGTGCACTTAGTGAGCTGGGCACCGCCAGTGGCGAACTCTTGCGTCCGGGCTCCGTCACGGTCAATTTGTGGAGCGACAGTAACCCGGAAGTTATCTTTACGAAGGAGGCGGAACGCCAGATAACCATCCATATCACGCCACAGCCGCCGCAGGAGGCATGACGGCCGTTTTTTCTACTTGCAATAAACCAGTCCTTGACTGCGATCCCACCTGATGGTAAGCAGTGATGCAATCGTAGATGGTAAGGCTCACTAGCTTATTAAAAACCTATTCACTCTAGCCTTGAAGAACAAAGCCAAACTGTTCCAATCCCTCGATGTACGCGGTATAGGCCGCAGGTGTCTCAACAACGTAAGGGTGGATACTTGTCGTACGGATATTCGAAGGCCGAAATAAAATTTTCCCTTGGGTGGTGCGAATGGAAGTGTCAGACTCTTACTGACTAAAAACTATTCCTCCCCTTTTCGTCTTCCAAGCTGGGCCATGTTTCATTATTACGTTTGCAACTGCAATCCTGGCTTGATAGTATACA